ACTGTGGCAAGAAAGGTCGTAAAATGGGGTAAAACTCACTTAACAAATGTCTCTCTTAACAGAAATTTTGGGCTCAATTGTGATTGTAAGTCGAGGACTACTATAAAGCCATCCTTTCTTTGGTCAGCTGGAACTGAGGTAAACTCACCAGATCATGATGGAGTATAAAAAGACCTCCATCCAAACCTTTTGAACCTTTTCCTAAAACTGTGCAATCAACTATCTGTATAGGTAGTCCTCGACTTACAACCACAATTGAGGCCAAAATTTCTGTAGCTAAGAAAACATTTGTGAAGTGTGTTTTGCCCCATTTTATGACTTCCTTGCCACAGTTCTTAAATGAATGACTGCAGTTGTTATGATAGTAAGTTTCCCAGACTGATTGTATTGGGGGACTTTAATCTGCCATCCCTAGGTGGGGCGTCAGGGGTGGCTCAGGAGTTCATGGCTTACATGGCAGCCATGGACCTGACTCAGATTATTCAGGGCCCGACACATGAGGGGGGCCACACGCCCGATCTTGTTTTTGTCTCGGAACAGTGCGGGTGGAGCTCGGTGGGGGATTATCTGCTATTTATCCCCTGTCATGGACCGATCACTATATCCTTCAGCTGGGCTTCCAGTACGCCACCCCTCCTCGCTGGGAGGCAGGACCGACCACCTGGTTCCGCCCCAGGCGCCTGATGAACCCGGAGAGTTTCCAGACGGAGCTTGGGATGATGCCTCTCTCTCTCTCCCACGCCCCAGTCGCGGCCTTGGTGGATGCCTGGGATGAGGCTGCTGCCAGGGCCCTTGACTGAGTCGTTCCTTTGCGGCCTCTGACACGACGCAGATCCCGACTAGCCTCTTGGTTTACCGAGGAGCTCCGGGGGATGAAGCAACATAGGAGAGGCCTAGAGAGCTGTTGGAGAGCCAGTCATTACGAATCTGACTGATCACAGTTAAGGTCGTTCACACGGGCCTACCAGGTGGAGTTGGCGACAGTGAAGCGTCACTATTTCTCCGACATCATTGCGTCCGCCCCTTCTATTCAACATTTATATGAAACCGCTGGGGGAGATCATTCATGGTTTCGGGGTGAGGTACCATCAGTATGCTGATGATACCCAGCTTTTTATATCCACCCCGAACCAGCCCAGTGATGCCATCGACATGATGTCCCGGTGCCTGGAAGCGGTACGGGTCTGGATGGGGAGGAACAGGCTTCGGCTCAACCCTGCCAAGACTGAGTGGCTGTGGGTACCGGCATCTCGATCCGAAGGAGAGGTTCCATTGTTGGCTATAGGGGGTGAAGTTTGACCCCCCCTGTAGACAGGACACGCAACTTGGGTGTCCTCCTGGATTCTCGGTTGAGTTTAGATGATCATATAACAATGGTGACCGGGGGGGGGCGTATGCCCAGATTCGTCTGGTGTGTCAGTTGCGCCCCTATTTGGACCGAGATGCTATACGCACAGTTACTCATGCGCTAGTCACCTCCCGTCTTGATTACTGTAATGTTCTCTACCTGGGGCTGCCCTTGAGGACCACTCGGAGGCTTCAGCTGGTGCAGAATGCGGCCACGCGAGTTGTGATAGGAAGGTCCCGATACTCCCATGTTACACCTCTCCTGCGTGACTTGCATTGGTTACCGGTGGCCCTCCGGGTGAGATTCAAGGTGCTGATGAAGACCTATAAAGCCCTACATGGCTTAGGCCCAGGATACTTGTCGGACCATCTGCAGCCAGCGACGGCTTCCCATCGCCCGGGGCGTTCTCACAGGGAGGGCCTTCTCCGGGTGCTGGCGGCTAGACAATGTTGGCTGGCGGCCCCCAGGGGTAGAGCTTTCTCTGTGGGCGGACCGACTCTTTGGAATCAACTCCCCCTGGGGCTACAGTTGGCTCCTGACCTTTGCACCTTCCGCCGCGAATTAAAAACATGGCTGTTCACATCGCCCAGCCTGGACTGAGGGGTTTTTTGATTATTTTAATGGGTTTTAATATATGTTTAAATTATATATTTATACATTTATGTATTTTATGTATGCATATTTATGTATTTTATGTTTTATTGGGTTTGTTTTATTTGTTGTGGGCTGCCCTGTGTCCTACGGAGATAGGGGGGCATACAAATTATATTAAATAAATAAACACAGTGAATCTGGTTCGCCCACTGACTTTGCTTGTCAGGTTGCAAAAGGTGATCATATGATGTCAAAGCACTGCAATTGTCATAAATATGAGTCAGTTGCCAAGCATCTGAATTTTAATCCCAAGTATTAGTCATAAATCATTTTTTTCCATGCTGTTGTAGTTTTGAAGGGTCACTAAATGTAAATGTTGTAAACTGAGGATTACCTCTATTCTCTTACTCTTATGAGAGGTCCAAAGGTTTGCACTCCCCCACTTCATCTTTTGTAATTTTCTTGCAGAGAAAATGTATTAAAACAGAAAAGACAAAATGCCTTTGAATGGAGTACCCTTGACAAAACCCCCATTTTATTTTCCCCACTCTATTGAGTAAAGCCCATGTGAAAAAGTAAGAAGTAAATCAGTTCCAGGAAATTGCAACCATAAAAGTTTCCCAACTGATCTAAAGTTTTGTAGCTGCTTGAAACAAATTGGAATTTGCTGGGCATGTCCTATCCAGAAAATGTCATGTTTTTAAAAGTATGTAACCTATTCAGTAACTCTACTGGATGAAGTAATGGGAATTCACATATTTGTCTAAAACAGTGATTTGGGGAAACAGAGCTTTAGATAGTTTAGTGTAAAAAAAATTCTTTTCAAGAAAAAGATTATTAATGTGACCACACTTCTGTTTCATTTTTAAAGTTACTCCCTTCCCACTGAAAGTTACAATTTCAATTATAAGCCATGTTATTACAACTTCAATAGAGATATTGTCTAATACAAAACCGTTGAGTGTAAAAACATGACTATAACTTTAAATTTTTATATTCCAACAATTTACAGGCCCAAAAGTATTTTATGTACCTTGCCAAGAATCAAGGTTACTTGTTGAGTAAGCTAATATTTAACTTCCTAGTGAGATTAAATGTACGAATACATCTACTTTAAAGACAGATTACAATGAGGCAATTATTCATAGAAGAAGATGGATTCTTCTGGTTGATGGTTTCCCTCTTCTCCTCAAGAATATCACAACAGTATTAATACAGTAAATGTTCTTTGCTACTGATATCTTTTTATACAGAAATCCAGAAGAGGTAAGTCTTTTATAACAATAACTAATTTTCTTTAAATAGTTTGTTAACTTTAATTTGAAATTAAGCAAGAAAAATAGTATACCGAGTCAGGATAGATAAAAAACTAAGCAAAATTTTGAGATATGAAACCAGAATATGTAAAATGCTTAAGCAAAGAATGTAAGGAGTTAGATTATAATTCCTTCATACTTAAACCAATGTCATTCATATATTTCAACTGAAAATTTATTCATTATGATCTTCAGCTCCACTGATTTCCATTTGAATGAGACTACATGTCATTTTAATCCAATATATGAAATGTGTTACTGGCATTCAACTATTTAATAGCAGAGATATAATAAGGTCCAACAACTGAAATATAAATGGCAAAGTGAAATGAAGGTTGAGGAAGGGAACAAGATATTCAGTAAGAGCTTTTAAGGCTTTTAAATTACAATTAGATTAGACAACATTTTCAAGGGCAAACTTCAGGACATACAATCATCAGTAGGTTTCTCTTTGCTTTTTAATTGGGCAGATAGAATAACTCATCTATGCCAAGGATTAAGTGATGGTCTATGACCCGTACAAAATTGCCAGCAGAATATGCCATATACTATATAGACAACCAGAGTGAATTATTTTATTACTTTCTATTCTCAGAGAGTGGTTTTGCATAGATGTGGCTGGTACAAAAACTAGTTACACTATTTCCAAAAGGTACCAATGGGTAAAGCAAGGATCCTTCATTACATTTACATTATAGCTGGCACAGACAAGATTCTGTAAAGTATTTCAGAGATCAGAAAATCTCCCAATGTGCTCACAGATAGTGTGTACTTTAAGAATATACTTTACTTAATGAATATGACAAATCAGGTAACCTTATCAGCTATTATAAATTGTGATTAAGGCTATGGGAGATTGTTTTTTAAGAAAAGTTTGAAGTTATTTGTCTTCTTACATGTAAAATTGATAATTTTGTGACTCAAAGCACTCTTATTACATTTTAAAGTGCCCAGTCAGCAATGGGCTGGAGAAGTTGAGCATCAATGTATTGTTTTATTAAAATAAAATTATAAATTAAAATGTATCAATTACAGAATATATAGGTTTTATGAAGAACAAATTTTCTTGGTAACACTTGACAAATAGATGAGTTATTCCTATACAATAGCACACATTAATGCAATAATTGTTTTTCATTGTTAAAAAACCCTATAACCTTGTTTATGCTGGAAAAATATATTGTTACAGTCTTGAAAAAAATAATCCCTGAATCCCTGAAGCCTATAAAAATTCAAAGTCTTTAAAAAGAAATTTATACAAATGTTAAACTTCATTTGGTTAAAATGTTTACAACAATGTTAAAGTTGGCACTGCAATAAAGTTTTGCAAATATAATAAATTAGCTTCAAGGCCATTTTAATATAAAGCCAGGTACTCTGCTTGTTTTCCAATCTGCACTGAGTCACATCTGGTCTGCTGCAGCTCTCTAAAAAGCCTGTTTCTGAGTACAGTCAAAAATTAATTTCTAATGATGGTTGATCCATAATATTCTGAATTTAAAATGCAAATGTTTCAAGCATGTCCATTTTATCTGTTTATATAAATGTAGCATATACAGGTTTTTCAGTATTTTCTAGCTTTGCTCAACATGCTGTGTTGGGACTATATTTCCAAAAATTTCCAATAAGCATGGACACATATGTTTTATAGACAAATGCCATATATTCCTCTCTGAATATAATTGTGAATTCTTATGAATTCTACCATACATAGATGACTGACACACATTTTTGTATTTCAGGTTAGTTAAGTGAAATATGGCTGCTTTGCAAAACTTCACCCATTCTCTGGAAGAGACTTTCAAGAAGATTTTCATTGACTATATGAACAACTGGCGTAGAAATACCACAATGGAACAAAATGCTTTGCAAGATCGAGTTGATGCTGAAAATTTAGATTATGTAATTTTGTATCTTATGGTAATGATTGGCATCTTCTCTTTTATTATTGTGGCAATTTTAATAAGCACAGTGAAATCAAAGAGACAAGAGCATTCCAATGACCCTTATCATCAGTACATTGTGGATGATTGGGGCGAGAAGCTAAAAAACCAGATTCTTTTCCAAGATGATCTTAAATCCATTGTCCATGAAAATTGTGGAGCAAAGGGCAAAGGTAGTCCATAATCACCAAAAACTGAATTAAGTATTGAAGAACTGGAATCCCTAATTTAGTGGCTTTAATATCAGTATGCTAGAACTTGTATTCTATACATAATTATAGGATATCGGATTAAGTTAAATATTAAGATTCAATATCTACAGGCAGAGCAGTAACCAACTATGCACTTACTGGAATCAAAAGAAAGTTTTCTAGACATCTTCATCAGTTCAAGAAATTACAAAGTGGGTTAAATCAGGGAAGCCAGTTTACATTCTGAAATTCCAGGCACTCTTTTAAGAATTTTTATAAGATTCAGTGATTAAATGAAGATCCTTCAAAGAAATTATAATAAATTATAAAAATACATTGACTGCTTTGTTGAAGAAAATGGGTGATTCTACCTAGACACCATGATATCCTTTTTAGAGGGATTTTTAATCTTCACTACCACCACCACTCTATTTTTGTGTGTGTATGCTTCAACTACCCTGCCAATGGAAGAAGCCAGAGGACCAAAACTCTGTTACCTCCATTTCTGTCCTGCTTCATGAAGCTGTAACTGGACCTTTCCTGCTCAATAAAACCCTTGGAATCTGCCACCCAGGAAGAGAGAAAAAAGCTGCAATAATTATCTTTGGGTCTGTAGACTAAAAGGTTGGCAGTTTGAGAGCCAAGAAGCACAAAATGGGATGAGCTCCCATTCTTGCCCGAGCTCCCGACGACCTAGCAATTCAAAAGCTTACCAATGCAAGTAGATAAATAGGTATCACATCAGTGGAGTTATAACAACATTCCATGCACCTTGGCTTATAGTCATGCTGGTCACATGACTATGGAAGTGTCTTTGGAGAATGCTGGCTCCCTCGGCTAGGAAACGAAGACGGGCACCGCCCCTTAGAGTCAGAATGAACTAGACAGGGGAAACCTTTACCTTTACCTTACTGATTTTATGAAATGGATATCAGCTGCTTCTTCTGTGAATCAGATGAAAAACATGGGAAGATGAATCAGTAGGATTCCACACTTTACTAAGGAACTTATTAATAGAATAACTGAAAGTTTTGTTTTATGTAACCTAAAATTACAGTTCTTTTATGACTGTATGACTTTTATGACATTCGGTCCATTTATAATCCATTAACGCTGTGAGTTGTAGTTGTTATATGATTCTTATTTGATACTTCAAATATGTAGTAGTGCTTTTTGTTTAGAGGCTTCTTATCATTTCAGTAATCTACACTGTGATTAATTATACTTTGCTTAATAAATACAATTTCTCAGTGCAAAGAAAGAAAAAAGGAAGCAATTTGAATTCTGCTTCTGGGGTGTGGCAGACAATGTTATATTGGAGTTCTGGAAACATCTTTAGAATGTAACGGCTGAACAAACATTTTTTTGAAGTGCTAATGTTCTGAATCTCACTCCATGCTCCGCCTATACCTGAATTTAAATGTATATCAGCCTGTAAATGAATATAAATTTACATTCAGCCCATAAATTTATTTATTTATTTATTTATTTGAATTTTTATACCACCCTTCTCCTGAAGGACTCAGGGCGGTGTACAGCCAGAATAAGAACACAGAAATAGAAAATTTAAAAGCAATTTAAAATATATATTAAACGATATGGCCCATAACTAATTAAAAAAACCCATTCTTAAAAAATGATGATTCAAAATTGAAGAATTGGAATCATGTCAGCCCGGCTTGTTGGAACAAAAGAGTCTTGAGGGCAGGGCGGAAGGTGCATAGGTCCGGGATCCTCCGAATCTCCGGGGGCAATTCGTTCCAGAGGGCAGGTGCCCCCACAGAGAAGGCTCTCCCCCTGGGGGTTGCCAGTCAACATTGCCTGACCAATGGCACCCGGAGACCCTCTCTGTGGGAGCGTACTAGCCGGTGGGAGGTTCTTGGTAGCAGAAGGCGGTCTCGTAGGTATGCAGGTCCTAAGCCATGAAACGCTCTAAAGATGTTAACCAGCACCTTGAATCGCACCTGGAAGACCACCGGAAGCCAGTGCAGTTCACACAGGATAGGTGTTACATGGGAGCGCCACGTCACCCCCACAATCACCCGCGTGGCCGCATTCTGGACCAGTTGGAGCCTCCGGGTGCTCTTCAAGGGGAGCCCCATGTAGAGAGTGTTACAGTAGTCCAGGTGGGAAGTGACGAGGGCGTGAGTGACCATGCGCAAGGCGTCCCGATCCAGAAAGGGTCTGGCGAACTGGCAATCAGGCGAACCTGATAAAAGGCCCCCCTGGCCACAGCTGTCAGGTGTTCTTCCAAGGACAGCCATGCATCCAGGAGGACACCCAAGTTGCGAACCCTCTCCGTGGGGGCCAAAGACTCACCCCCAATAGTCAGTGATGGAATCAGCTGACTATATTGGGATGCCGGAAGCTACAGCCACTCGGTCTTGGAGGGGTTGAGTCTGAGCCTGTTCCTCCCCATCCAGATCCGCACGGCCTCCAGGCACCGGGACATCACGTCAAGGGCATCATTCGGGTGGTCCAGGGTGGAGATGTACAGCTGAGTGTCACTTTTTACCAAACATCATAAGACAATCAGGGATCTGATTATGGGGAACCAAAACCTGGTAAAGTCTCTGCACGACTGGAAAATTGCTAGTGCTTGGAGTACAAGGATGTAACATTATGCTCTAATAAGCACCATATTTGATCAATATAAACAATGCAAATGCTGATCACTACCAGGGCTTTTCTGTGATCCTACCACTTTTGCATATGAATAAATTAATGTAAAATCCAATTACTTTTAGAAAACTGAAGATTTTCAGCATTTTCAGTTTTAAAAATTATAATTTTAATTGATTTTTTTTACAAAAATTACAAATATTAGAAAAGAAACAAGTGAAATAAAGTATAGTGAATATGTTTTATAACTTTTATGATGTAAACAGTATCATAAAACAGTTTATGACATAATGCAAATGTCACAAAACATTTCCTATGCTGATGTTTGTGTTAAAATGTTCAACATGTGGCATTTTCAAGGCAGATACTTCTCTGATTGTATCCCAACTTTTCCACTGAAGGCAGTTTATTAGAAGTTGTGTCACTGCTGAAGGCACTGAAGAATCTAGTGAGGAAATATCTCTGAAATGATGTCCCAAGGAGTTATGGACTGTCTAGTTGTAAACTAAATCCCTCTGCATAAAGTCCTCTCTTCATCTCATATTTTCCATGTTCCTGTTCCAACAATTCTCAGTAAGATAACCATTTTACTCACTGTTTCTTTTCTGTAAAATGCTTCATGTGCTGAGACCCATAAATGCATTTTAGGCACAATTTGGGTTTAGACCTCTTCCCAATATGGCACTTCTGATACAATGTGTTAAGTTGGGCAATTGAGGAGGCAGAAGCAAGGTAGTGCGTGACAACAGCTCTTTAATGTAGTGTGAACTTCAGCAAAGGTTACAGTAACACAGCTCCTTTTATATACCTTGCCGGCCAGGGAGCTGACCAATCACTATTGACCCTTTGTCTTTTAAATCTCCTGCCAAAACTATATACATAACAACCCTCCCCTCCCAGAAGGTACTTAGGGTGTACATTTGCATACAAAATCACGCAGGTGACCAGGGCATTCCCTATGCCTAGTTGACCTGCACAGTTCAGTCTGAGGCATGGCATTGAGCTGGTCGGAGGGACCTTTTGTTTCTCCCAGTTCCGCCAATGGAACCTCCTGGATTACTTCAGGGGCGTTGCTTTCCTCGGCTGAGAGAGGCATCTCACTGGGATGGCGCTGGACTCCGAAGTTCCCAGATAAGTCCCCGGATCTCATCGGGCTTGAGCTAGCTGTTGTGGGAAGAGTTTGGAACTTAGGGCTTGGATTTTGGAGTTGCGGTTCTGGTTCAGTGGCCAACCTTTTCCGGAGTTGATCAATGTTCCTTCGCCAGATCCTCCCATCACCCATCTCTACGGTGTATGACTTAGGGCCTGTGTTATCCGAAATCATCCTAGCTACCCATAGGGGCCCATTCGCATAATTTCTGGCAAACACTGGTGTCCCTATCTATTCCCTCAACTTCTTGTCCACTCCCTTGAACCCATCCGGGGAATAGTTGGGGTGTAATCAGTCAAGAATGCACCGCAGCTTCCTGCCCATCAGGAGCTTGGCCAGGCTGTGCCCTGTCACTGTGCATGGTATGGCATGCTGGACAGCCAGGAATTTATCTATCCTGGCCTGCCAATCCCCAGTGTCTAACTGTGAGAGTGCCTCTTTGGCCATTCTCACAAATCTTTCAGCCAGTCCGTTACTGGCCGGATGAAAAGGTGCAGAGAGTGCATGTCTGATGCCCAGCTCTGCCAGGTACACCTCAAACTGGGTGGCAGTGAACTGGGGCCCGTTATCCGATACAAGTGTATTGGGCAATCTGTGGATGGAAAAGAGTTTCCGAAGCACCTTAATTACAGCTTCGGAGATCGTGGATTGCATTAGGGTGATCTCGAGCCATTTCGAATAGGCGTCGATGATCACTAGGAATGTTTGGCCGTGAAATGGGTCAGCAAAGTCTATATGGATCCTCGACCAGGGAACCCGAGGTCATTCACAATAAACACCCCCCGTGCATAGACAATTTGTTCCTCTTGGATGCAAATGATTTAAATTCCCCACCTTCGGTCTTTCCCGGCCACCCCCTCATGACCCAACTCATGACAGTCTTTAAAACAGAGTCCCGAGCCGACGCTCTCACCACTTCGGCAGAAGTGAGAGGTCCTGAATCCAAAGTGTCAATGAATAGGACTGGTGTCCCCAGTGTAGGGTCATCTAGGATGTCCGGTAGCGGGCATCGGCTGAGGGCATTGGCGTGCCCCAAACTCAGTCCATGTCGGTGGACAAGGTGTAGGAATATGCTGCCAGAAAGATAGTCCAGCGAGTCATCTGTGGAGACAAGGCAGCAGGGGTGGGCCGGTCCCCAGCCAGGAGGCCCAAAAGCGGCCGGTGGTCCGTGACAAGTTTGAAATTCAGCCCAAACAGGTATTCGTGGAATTTCTTCACTCCCGAGATGGCTGCCAGAGCCTCTCTGTCCAGCTGGCTGTAGTTCTGCTCAGCACTGGACAGGGTGCGGAAATAGTAAGCGATGGGTGCCTGTAGTCCATTCGGTAGTCTGTGGCTCAAGACGACCCCTACTCCAAAAGGGGACGCGTCACAGACTAGTACAAGCGGAAGCATCACATTGTACTGGATGAGGAAGCTGTCCGTGGACAAAAGTTTTTTCACAGCGGCAAAAGCGGCAGCCTCAGTCTTTCCCCAAACCCAGGGTGCATTTTTAGCCAATAATCAGTGTAGGGATTCAACTACCGTTGCCTTGTCTCTCAGGAAGATGGCATAAAAGTTAAGGAGACCCAGAAAGGTTTGTAGCTCCAACTTGTTCTTGGGGGTTGGTGCATTTTTGATGGCCCTAATCTCACTTTTGGTGGGGTGAATGCCCATTCCGTCCACCTGGTACCCCAGGAACGCAACAGAGGGTACTGCGATCATGCATTTTGTCCATTTGACCCTGAGGCCAGCACTTCTGAATTTCTCTAACACTAGTCTTAGTCGGTCCCCTAGTTGTTTTTCGTCTGTGGCACTGATAAGGACATCGTCGAAATAGGGAACTACCCCTGGAAGTCCTTGTAGTAGGTGTTTGGAACAAGCCGGGGGCTATGCTAACTCTGAACTCTAGCCTAGTGCATTTGAAGGCACCTCTGTGAGTTATGATAGTCTGTGCCTCCACGGTAGCACCATCTACCAGCAGTTGCTGGTACGACTGCGCAAGATCGAGTTTTGCGAAGATCTTGCCAGGACCCAGCGAATGGAGTAAATGGTGCACGATTGGGACAGGGTAAGCACTCTGCTGGAGAGCCATATTAATCATGCATTTGTAGTCGGCGCATATGCGCACAGACCCATCAGGCTTGATGGGTGTCTCCCATTTGGCATAGTCTACTGGGACTAACACCCCCTGTTTAATTAGTTTGTCCAGTTCCAAGTCAATCTTAGGCTTTAGTGCGAAGGGCACTCGTCTAGCCTTAAATCGGATTGGGGCTACATTGGGGTCAAGATTAAAAGAGATAGGTGTCCCCACGTACTTGTCCAGCCGGTCGTCGAACATGTCCTGGAACTCTTTCATCAGGTCGTCCCTCAGGCTGCTGCAACTCCTGGCTGGCTCGCTGCTTGCGCTGTGGACTCCGGTGAATCTCATTCCAAGGACCTTAAACCAGTCCAGTCCCAGGAGGCTTGGTAGGCATTCGCTGACCACGGTGAGGGGAAGCTTCTTCCAGTGCTTGGAACGTGCCAACTCCTTCCACGGGGATGCGGTTTTCTTGGTAGTCCCGAAGCTGTATCCACTGGTGCTGTAGCTGACTCTTCTTTAAGCTGGGTATCGCCACTTTCAGAGTGGCCCAGGACATGATGGATAGAGATGACCCAGTATCTATCTCCATTTCACAAGGGCTCCTCTCTATTTCCACCATGGTGTGGACCTGCTTTTCGATGGTCACACTGGCTTGGCCGACTCTGGTGCTGCAGGTCTCGTGATTCTGGAAGCTCGCACTTTTGGCCCATCTTTGTTGGCCCTCTTATGCCGTGCCTGCTCCGATTGGCTGGCTCCGCTCCTTGGCTTGTTGTTGGATGGTAGACTTGCCTGGCAGACCCTTGCTAGATGTCCCTTTTTGTCACAGCGTCTGCAAATGGCGTCCTTGAACTTGCAAGTCTGCCATTGGTGGGAACCTCTGCAGCTTGCACAGTTCTCCCGACGCTCTTTCTGCTCCCTTCTGTGCCGTTCCGTTTGTTGGACTCTTCCTCACTGTCGGTCTGGGTCGCCTCGCGGTGCACCAGTGTCGACCTTGGCGTCGCTTGCAATGGTGCTGGCCATTGGAGGGTCTCTGCAGTCTTGGTTGATGATTCGTGTGCCCTTGCCTCATCAAGGGTGAAGTGGAGCATGAGATTGGTCCTGGCGAGCAGTCTTCTCTGTAGGCAAATATCTCTCACGCCACAGATTAGTTGCTCTAGGAGCACATAATTGAGGTCTCGGTACTTGCAGTGCATCGCTGCCTTGCGCAGGGTGGCCATGTAAGAGCTGATTGGTTCACCTTCTTGCTGCAGTTGTTGCCGGAACTCGTACCTCTGTACGAACTTGGATGGTACTGGGGCATAGTGGGCCTTCAGCAAACCTTGCAAGGCTTGCCACGATACTGTCTGGACTGGGGTTGGTTCCGATAGCGACTCAGCCATGTTGAAAACCTCCAGTCCACAGTGGCTCAAGAATAGCGCTTGCTTCCTGTTGTCAGAGAGGCCCTGTAAATCAATGGCCTCCAGGAAGCATTTGAACTGAGCCATATATAACCCCCACTTCTCTCTGGCTGGGTCATAAGGCATTGGCGGTACATATGCAGACATCATGGTAGTTCTGCTCTGTACGGGGCTCGTCCGCCTGGCTGAATCTGTCATCGTCAGCTCTTTCTCGGCTTGCTTCTCGTTGCCTCAATCCCACCTTCATCGCCAATGTTAAATTGGGCGATTGAGGAGGCAGAAGCAAGGTAGTGCGTGACAACAGCTTTTTAATGTAGTGTGAACTTCAGCAAAGGTTACAGTAACACAGCTCCCTTTATATACCTTGCCGGCCAGGGAGCTGACCAATCTCTATTGACCCATTGTCTTTTAAATCTCCTGCCAAAACTATATACATAACATAATGATTCTTAAAATCTACTTTTACCTTAACTTAACTTTATTGTACTATAAAAAACATGGTACAATGTTTTTTTTTACAACCTCAGATCCTGCCCATCTAATTTTAAAATTCCCTTATTTTTCAGCAAAACCCATGTTTTTTTATTTGTCAAATAAATAATGAGTATCTGTGTACAGATTCAACACAGTATCCTTAGAGGTGTATCCATCTTGTCAGGTGTTAGCATGTTTGTTAGTATGTTCAGTTTAACAGAAGCTCATTGTAGGAATGAATGATGATTGATAAAAAAAAATAGGTGATGAAATGTCTCTGAGTGAGTCATGCCAAATACTAAAAACTTTGTTGCGGAAATAAATGATTTGGCAACCCGTGTCTCAATAAAAGAGTTCCACACTCCCTGTTTCATAATTTAGCAGCCCAGCCTGAAAAACAACCAGCGTTAGGAGAAAGCCCGATCACTTGTGTTTGCTAAAAACCTGACTACAAATTAAAGGAAATTTCAGATTAAAGCACCTGATCCTGTTTGGTTGAGGATTTGATCAGATAGGCAAATTTGCCTCATCAAATTGTCAGCTCTACTGCAATTTCTAACATTTTTCTGTAACTCAATGTGTCTGTTCCTATCAAATAATCCAAAATAAATTTATCAGTGAAAAGCAGGATAAAAAGAAACAAAGCAATAAATTTGTCCAGCTTCATACTGCAAACATTAGACCAAAATCTTCAAAGTGCTCTTTCATTATCAGCCTCCTTTAAGGAATTAGCAAATGTTCATATTTCTTTTGTTTTGCTATTTAATCTGTATAGTATAGCATTTTAATCTTTTGTAAACTGCCTGAGAGGATAGTGAAAAAAACAAGTTCAGAACAGTTCCCTGTCATTCCTCCTCCATAACCCATCTTTGAAAGTAAACCACTATTGTAGAAACCATTTGATATTAGGCTGGCTAAACTGGTATGCTTTGTTCACTTTAGTGCAGGGCTGTCAAACTCGTGTGGTCACAGCGGCATCATGTGACATATTGCGACTCCCCCCCCTTCGCTAAACTGGGTGTAGCTGTGGCCAGCGGTGTGACACATCCAACCCCCGGGGCCGGGAGTTTGACACCCCTGCTTTAGTGACTGTGTTAACACATCAACTGTTTTAAACATGGCTTGTTCAACAACTCAAAATCGGTCTGCTTTGTGCTGAACCATAATGGAGTTCACATACCACACCTAGCAAGACATTATAGTCAAAGTAGAAAGGCAAAGGTCATAGAATTTGTGAACTTGTAGATTTTCACTGTTTTGCTGTAACTTTTTTTTTTTTGCTTTAATTTATATGCCGCCCTTCTCCGGAGACTCAGGGCGGCTTACAATGCGTTAAGCAATAGCCTTCATACTTTTGTATATTTATACAAAGTCATCTTATTGCCCCCACAATCTGGGTCCTCATTTCACCTACCTTAGAAAGGATGGAAGACTGAGTCAACCTTGAGCCTGGTGATATTCCCTTAAAACTTTCTTTTTTCAACAAGCCGGGCTGGCTTAATTTCTTTTTAAGGTTTTTTTTAATTGTTTTGTTTTGTTTATCGTTTTAATTAATGGGGCCAAATCTATATATATATTTTTTAAATGTGTTTTAATATTTGTATTTGATGCTTTTATTTGGCTGTTCACCGCCCTGAGTCCTCAGGGAGAAGGGCGGTATACAAATTCAAAAATAAAATAAAAATAAATAAAATAAGATATTCGAACTTGCAGTAATTGCAAGCAGCAGTTGTTAATAACAGTGCTTAGTCCACTGTACTACAGGCTCTTATTCACATGGGAAGGCACACTTGACATCCAAATTAATTTGAATTTGAAAAAGAAACTAGGCATAGCTACTCTAGTGAAGAGAAGGAACAGGGGTAACATGATAGCAGTGTTCCAATATTTGAGGGGCTGTCACAGAGAGGAGAGGGACAACCTATTTTCCAAAGCACCCAAAGGCCAGAAAAGGAACAATGGATGGAAACTGATCAAGGAGAGATTCAACCTAGAAATAAGGAGAAATTTTCTGACATGAGAACAATCAACCAATGGAACAACTTGTCTTCAGAAGTTCTGTGCGCTTCATCACTGGAGGCTTTCAGGAAGAGACTGGGCAGCCACTTGTCAGAAATGGTACTGTAGGGTCTCCTGTTTGAGCATGATGACCTACAAGATCCCTTCCAATTCTCTTATTCTGATCTGTTAGTCTGTTAAGAGAGGAGAGAACGTGCTTCTGCCTTCAATACCGGTGATAGTAAAAGGGGAAGGTTTCCCTTTTCTTTCCTTAACACGATTTGAAATCTCAATTCCCTTCGCAGGACTGGTACCGAAAGGGTTAACATGTACGGGTTTTTTTTCCCCCTTTGCTGACGTATTGGACTCTAGCAGCAAGGGTTCTGGGAGTCGTAGGCTCTAGTAGTTTCCTGTGTTTAATGGCTCCTCGCTATTAAGGTACTGTAGCTTTTACATAACAAATTACACAGCGTTTTAGGCTTATTTACCAGAAAGTCTGATGTAAACAAAAAGCATATCATGGAAAGTGTCGGTCCTGTAGACGTTATGTTTCATATTTTAACCTTTACATTGCATTAAAGAGCAATGATTTGTAAATTCTTTGGTCTGCAATTCAGAATCTCATAGCAGTAAATCTGCATTTGGCGTTAACTTTGTTGGACACCAAGGCACGTAGTTTGAACCAGCATGCGTGGAATTCAGTTACACAATACAGACTAGGCAGACATAAGGGAAGTTTTCTTTGCTTGCTGCTTGCATAGATTTAACTGTTTTCCGAATCATCGTTGTAGCTGGAGTATGTTGCAAGGCGGGCCAGGCCATGTAGTTTTCTCGGGTGCTTTAAATAGTTGCAGATAGATACTATGTTTTTATACCCATATATTATGAAACATCTTTTGAAAATCAAATGAGAAGCGTTGTATAGCTTTAGTTTATATATAAATATCAATTATTTATAATGCTGGTTTTTTATCCAGGTTGTTAAATTAACAGGATTTTGTGGATTAATTTGGATGAACCTGACCCTGTTAGTTTTTCATAAGAACTTGGAAACCTGGTTCTTACCTCCCCCTTGTGGCTTTTGGCCAGAACATTGGTTGAACTCATTCTGAAACGACTTTGCACTTGAATATGTTGTGGCTTGGCTATATTGTAGTGTTTTGTGTAGTTTGCTCTTGATTTACTTGGGTTTTTCTGTTTTTAGCTATATGTAAGTCTCTCAGAGTCTTATTAGTGAAATGGGCAGAAATATAAATCTTCCAAATAAATAAACAATATAAATTCCTGGCATAGCATTAGGTCTTGTTATTTTATTAAGAGAAACTTTACAGCTATAGGAAAATAAACCATATCAACCCATTAACTGACCTTGGGGGGGTGGGGAGATAAATATGGAACTTGATATATATACATGATTCTAAGGGTCTCAAGAACATAATTTTGAAAAGTATTTATGAATTAATCATACTTCTATTATTGTATCACTAGAGAACCTATCACTAGAGCCCTACACAGAAAGCCATCTGATGCATTTTTAAAAATAAATGGCTTTCCGTGTAGGACTTTGGCAGAGACATAACAGAGAAATAGTTTGAACTGGGAGAAAATCCTGGAACTTGACAGAAAGATCACTAGAAATAAATATAGATTACTATTTTTGGTATAAACTTGCAGTGAAATATGTAACATGTAACATATTAATATGTTTAAAATTAGCTTCCCTTGAAATCCTTAATTTATTTCAAATATAAATGGATTTGTTGGAATGGAAAACAAATTCTTGGATTTGTTTTGAGAAGGGGCTTTAACTCAAATAGAATTTTCTGTATACAGTGGGATAAATCAGGATTGTTTAAAGTAATACTGAGCAATGTAGGAAAAATATGTTTGCTTACTGCTATTATGTACATTTCAGAGTTTTTGCTCTAGAATGAAGAAAAAAAAACTGATTCCAGGAAAGAATCAAAATGTTTTTTTGGTTTCAGAAAATGGGCAGGGGAATATGGAACCTAGAATATAAACAGGATAAATTCTCAAATTTAATAGTGAAAATGTTGCCATAGGTGCTCAGTTTTCATTGATGTTTTCCTTTATTGAATATTTTATTCCACATTATTAACACAGAGGATTTTCCAATTCTCCAGCATGGATCTTTTATTACTGCAATTTTCATTCTCTTGTCTACTGCGAGAGCCAATCAAATTAATCTTAACTATTGCTACTAGATTTCTATTGGCTAAGAATTGGGTGGGTAAGTTGAAGCCCAGTTATTGACTTCCAAGCAGTTTGTAGGCAGCTTGGCAAGTAATATACCATTGGAGGATATTGAATAGTTTATCCTTTGGCCAAATTAATGGTTGTAACTGAAGTGCAGCTCCTTAAAATTTGCAACTGCTTTATGGCCATTAGAATCTGCTAGTTCAATTCATCTAAAGTCAGATAGATGTATATTTTCAGAGAGAAATAAGCAGTAGATGAGATTCTGTACCATTTTAACATGCATCCAGACACTGTGGTGTCCAGAGGGGATTGGGGGGTATCAGAATGACAGAAGCAGTTTTGGACAGTCATAATGCAAGCACTATCCCATTTCATCATTTTGATGATGGCAGGAAGCTTCTATTGGTGTCATGCCTATAGAGGTCTGAGTTTCAATATTTTACCAAACAAGAAATCTATAATGGAAGATGCATCATTCACGCTGGTCAAGATCTTAACAAGTTAAAACTGTTTCCTAATGCAAAGGGCAAACTTGTTTGGAATTTGTTGAGGTCTATAACTTATTCCCAATAAAATATAGTAGCCTTTATTTTAGACAGCTTATGTCTGTTTTATTTGATGATGTATTATTCAATTACAATATTGTTTAAAAATTCATTCACTTAGCATTAAAATTGAGGGTCACTGCTAGTATTGCACATACAAAGTGTAAAAAGCATTATTGGAATTTTAACCTTAAAAACAAGTTAGTTGTAATGGACATCCTACAGTATGGTTTTCAGTAGGGTTTATATGCAATTAACTTTAAATGAATTGGAGCCTATAGCTGTTCAGTTACCATTTGACCAGTATTTTAACAAATGGATTAATTGTTGCCAGTGAGGGTTTCTTTTTTTGTTCTTTTTTTCCTCTCTTAAACTGAATAGCTGCTGAATAGTCATTTGCCCATGAATACGACCCCTGTCACCAACCAAGTCAAGTCTTGGCTGTTTGTACTGCAACTGGTCACTGATCTTGTCACTCAGTGGAAACACATTTCCCTTTCTTGAATGTTTTGTATCTGAGGAGAAGTGTGCTGGGAATTCTTATGTATAGGAACAACATCTTTGCCTGCCCCTGAAATGAGATCAACTCCATCCTTTTGAAACTCCATGAGCCCTCCATCAAGACCTGATTATCTTATCAGACCTGGAGTTCTGAAGGTACCAGAGACTTACTTTGAGGGCTCTATTGTTGAGGGGGGCACTTCATTTGTATCTTTTTGGTTTTTATAGTTCTTACATCTTCATCTGTTATTTTTACATTTGCTATTTTATCTAATTGTTGTGCACCACCCAGAGTATTTTTGGTAATATGGCTGACTATATAAATTTAATAAATAACTAAATATTAAGCCCATGTCACTAATATTGACATCTCGTTAATGCATAGCTGTTGAAACAAATCAGTGAGCTATTTTGGCAGATGGTTTTGCCCTTAGCAATTTTCCATTTATCTGTGGTTCAAATGGGTTCTTTGAATATATCACTTCTCTTTCTTCCCCAGGTGACTTTTCACAAAAAAGTATTGCATTCTTACATATTTGCCTTGTAACACCCTAAACTGAAGATTACAGTAAAACAGAGTTAAGATGGTGTTTTTGAATTGGAAGGTGAGAACATTTTTAATTTGTATCTTAAATTTTGGTCTCCTGATTTCTTAGTCACTGAGTCTGGAAGAAATAACCCTGTATATTTTGTATACATCGACACCTATTCTGAGAGAGAACAACATTCTAGAAAACTACAATCTGTACTGTATGATATGTGGTTTTATAAAAAGGTTATAGCAGGTTCTTCCTATGGCCTCTTGATCTTGGTTCTTGACTGGCTGTGCAAGAACATATCTCAACCAATGACTGCACACTTCAGGCTGTGTGTTCTTGTACTCTATCTGTGTGGTCAGCTTATCCTGATTCTGTATAGAACAGATTCTTTTTCCATTAGTTGGAATTTACTTTCACACTTTTTAAAATTGTAGCCTTTTGAATAAAGAACTACATAATCATTCTGTTCTTCTTTAATAGATAATGTTAAAGCCAGCAAAACCTTTATTGGGGGCTCCTTATGGTTAGCTTTTTAGTGAGCCTATTTGGAATATTAAAAGAATGTTGTCCATACCATCACAAATTAACCCTCATGAAGCAAAGGAATTTTTAGAGAATTAATTATAAAGTGCCTGTACAGTATTTTAACTGAGATCATCCTCATAAGGCATTGTTAATGTGATGAAAATTGTAACTATTCCATGACTATGAAGGCCTATCATTATAGCTGTTTCAAGGAAGTAATTTGAGTTTGACAAATTCAAATGTTCATTTTCTAGCTATTCTGTTTACATTATTACATTAAAATAACTCAGTGATTTTTTTTTTTTCTGTTTTAGGCACTGGAAACTTTTCCACTACTAATGTACATTTTAGCTGCTAAAACATTAATTCTTTGCTTAGCATTTGCTGGGGTAAAAATATATCAAAGGAAAAGACTTGAAGAGAAGATGAAAAGAGAGCAAGTAGAAGAGCAGAAAAGAGAAATGGAGAGAAAAGAAAACTGAAGATCTAAAGGTATATTTTCATTGGAATCAATGATGTTTTATAACGAGTTAAAGAGAACACTCCATCGATTGAAACAATGCATGAAGGGAGTTGTGAAGTGACATGACCCATTCTATTCTCAGGTTGGTCAGAAGACCTCCTCCTCCCCCTCCCCCCCCAATTTCTTGCATGAAGGGTTTCTACACTTGTGCATATAAACAATTATTTTGCAAGCTCTGAAAACCTGGATGATTTATGTTGCTGATCTCCATATAGACGGCCCCATGGTCTCAATACACAAATGCACACACATTGATTATTGATTTGTTTCAAGACTGAAGGGACTTTAATCTGTCAGCTGAGTGTTGTACAGTTCCCAAATACATTATGGGGCTAAAAGCATACAATCTAGTAAAAATGCAACTAGAAATGGGTTGGTGTTTACACTGTGTTATGAGTTGGAAAAGGCTTTTATGGCATATACAGTAAACTATAATTAAACAATCAGTGGTTCATTGTTGAATTTAGCCTACCTTTCAGGGTGTGGGAGTGTTGTCGTAACTCACATTCCTCTGAATAATTTCATGCTTGGTGAGTTTACTAGAACTCTTTGGAACTTCAGTTTAGATTTTATATGTCTGATAAATATTTGAAAACATCAACTGTCATAGTAGAAGGAGCACTTTCAAATTCCTATTCTCCCACCCCTTTAAATACGAACATCACCCATAAATAATACGTACTGCGAGATAACTTATTCTTCTTTTCTTGTGCAGAAATACATTGGTATGGGAATATTAATATGAGAAAAAGACCCTGCCAGCTATCTTCCCATTGCCACCTTCCATTCTCTGACTTTGCCTGATTAAAGACAAAACTCTTTCCAAGAAAGAAAAAAACCCCATATGTCTCATCCTTTAGGTCATGATCTTCCAGTCTTCCTATTCAATTGTAGCAGAAGGCTTATGCCAAGATCATCATCTGGAGGTTCACTATGGGAAAAATGTCAACTAAAATATTTAACTTAGTACATAAAACATGTTGGAACTGGAGCAGCAGAAGAATATATTTGAGTTAGACACATCCTGACCCAGGAATTTTATTTGAATAAGCTGCACTGCTTGTTTTACTGGGCCTCTTTGGGGCAATCTTGTAATGAAGGCTGAAACAGCTCCAACTCTTTTTTAAAATGAAAGAATCAGCTTTGCAATTTCAGGACATTCTAAAGAACTGGAAATAATTGCTTTTATTATATGTGGAATATTTGTCCCGCATCTACATGCACTTAATACACAAACACACACACACACACACACACACACACACACACACCCCTCAGCCTATGAGAACAGAATAACTTTGTCCAACCGTTTACCAAATATGTGCAAAATGTGATTAACGTGCAAAAATGTGATGATTAACAAATATGTGCAAAATGTGATTAACACTCTGTTCGACAATTGGGAACAGTAATTTATGATCTGAGAACTTAGTAAGGCTTCTTTTATTATTGTGCTTTTGATTGGCATATTTTATTATTTGATACATGTTAATTGCTGCATGCAGAACTTGTGTGAATGGGAATTTACAAAGGTGAGTTTCAGAGTACAAAACAATTTTAGTTTCCTGGGAAAACAGTGAAATTATGAAATGTTATATGGTGCTCTGAACCTCAAATGGCATGTGCATTCGTAAACTGGCTTGAATGCCGCCTTCTGGTACTTTTCAGAAATTCAAATGATTACATTTCTGGAACTATTTTATTTCAAACATTTCAAAATAAAATAATATTGTGCTAAAACATCGCATCACAAAATCTGAAGCAACAATAAGAAACAAATCTTAAACCCCAAATATAAATTACATTTTGTAAATTGAATTTAAGAAAAATATTTGAATAAAAATTGAATAGTAGCAGGCAGAAATTTGTGTCATCTTCTGAGAAAAAGGAGAATGAGAGCTACTTGAATCTCTTGGACAGCAGATTGCTTATCATGGGAGCCATTGAAGATAAGACTACACTTCATATATTAGATTAGAATGGCATCTGGTGTAAGACCTTATAAAAGTAAGACTTTAATCTAGGGCTGAGCATTTGCTACCTGTATATAAGGTTTTCTTGTTACTTCCTTGGGCCGTTGTGGTGCAGTGGTTAGAATGCAGTACTGCAGGCTACTTCTGCTGATTGCCGGCTGCCAGAAATTTGGCAGTTCGAATCTCACTGGCTCAACTGGGAAGGTTGACTCAGCCTTCCATCCTTCTGAGGTTGGTAAATGAGGACCCAGATTGTTGGGGGCAATATGCTGACTCTGTAAACCACTTAGAAAGGGCTGTAAGGCACCATGAAGCAGTATATAAGTCTAACTGCTATTGCTATTGCTTCCTAGTGAGACTTATCCTAATTTTGAAATCCCTCTATCAACAATCAGTTCAGACTTTTGATAAAAATGGTCTGTTTCTTTCTTGCTTTTATTTTCTAACAAGAAAGGAAGGGAAGGAAACCCCCTCCCCCCCAAAAAAGGAGACTGGATTGTGCAATTCACATTCCACCCATTTTGCATACAGCTTTCAAATTAGTTCCAGGACTGTGTGCTTTCAAATGGATAAAGATTGCATACTGCAATGTAACCTACCAGGTAGGGTAACAGTGGCCTTTGGCTTCCATTATAAAACTTTGGCACTGTCTTCTGCAAACAAAATAAAGATCTCAAGTTGTGTAAAAAGTAGGCTGGGAGAAAGTAGCAAGAAAAGGGAAGAGTGACACCTCAAGTCCCCATCTTCTTTCCCAATCCTAAATTTTTGTGTGCAGAGAATAGGGTAGGCTGAGATTTGAGCTGTGAAGTTGCAGCCAAGCAGTCAGCTGGACTTTAAGTACAGTAGCATTAGGAGTTGTAATGTAAGGGATTGCAGTATCACTTAGGAGCCCATGACATCAAAGCAAAACTTTTATTTCGAACCTGCATGTTGCTTTTTGCATGAGAAGATGGAGACTTAATAGCTACTGCAAATAGAATCGTTCTATTTTGTGTGCTGATTTTCAGACATGTGGCAGCTGACTTGGATGTCTTTCTGGGAAGCATTGAAGATTTCACTGAAATGGAGAACTATGCTTGGAGAAATGAATTCCCTAAGATCAAGATTTATTTGAATAACAATGTATTTTAATTTTGTTGTTGTTTTGTTACAGATAGTAGCAGGACATTGTCAGTTATTTATTCAGTAAATCTTCTTTTACAAAACTGGTACCGGTATCATTTGTTCAAGCACCGTGTTTTCCCGAAAATAAGACCATGTCTTATATTTTTTTGAACCCCGAAATAAGCACTTGGCCTTGTTTTCGGGGAGGTCTTACTATTTTGAGGCATGTGGAGCAAGATGGGGCTCCTCTTGCCATCTTTCCTGATTTCCAGCTCTGCGTTTAAATATTTTTGCGGAGGACTTATTTTCGGGGGGAGGCTAATTTTAGTGCATGCGCTCAAAAGCCCGATTGAGGTTAGTATCGGGATGTCTTATTTTGGGGAAAACAGGGTACCTTCCAGTTAGATAGATAATCAATTTTTCTCCCATGCAAGAGGAAAACTATTCCCTTTGCAGCCTAATCTGGTCAGTGTTGCTCATGAATACATCCTACTAGAAATAATTAGATTGGTCCTGACTGTTCTATTGGTTTTAAAACTACACTTTGAATTGGAAGGGAAAAAGAACCAGATATTACATCTGCTGTCTGTCTCCCAGTAAAATAGATAATGCTTAGTAGAACAGCTACGCTGTATGGCTGCAGTCCCCAACCCTTCATTCCCCAGTATCTGCTCAGAAAAGACACTTTGGGGCAAGTACAAAGGTGCAGTCTTAACATTTCACATTTGATTAAGTCATTACTCTTCACCCTGTCCTGTTTTTTTAAGATGAAGGTACAAATTATATGTGGAAGAAAAAAATTATGCTGAAGTCTAAAATCTGCAATGCTGTGATTCCTATTGAACTGAGTCAAACTTTTGAATGGGCCTGCAAATGACTGCATTCGTAACTTTGGGCACAATATATCACAAAATTAAAGGCTATAGTTCTTTGCACTCTTGCACGGCAGAAATAAAATCTATTGAATATAATAGGGCTTGTTTCTCAGTAAATATTAGTAAATATTACAGCCTTATGCTGCAACCTTACTGAGTTGAAGAAAAACTTGATAAGCTCTTGTGTTGCTTTTTGTGGGACTTGAAGTTAAACATGAATATAGAACTTTAAAATCCTTAATATGGGTTCTAAATTAATATATAGTTTAAAAAGTGTATGACTGTTCGCATTGCCCTAATAATTGCAAATAAATTTTAAATTACTTAATTCATCTCTCATTTTCTAATAACCAAGAGATTATAGGTTTCTTATTAATGTGAGAGAAGATGTAGTGCCTTACCAAAAAATTTAAAAACTTCCTCCTTTGCCTCTTTTATACAAGTGAAATAATGACCGTACTGTTACTTTATAAGGCTCATTAGATTCAGTTTTAATCTTCATGTTTAAAGTTAAAAGAAGTCACTTAAATCTAATATGATGATTTGATTTATTCTTAGAGCCAGATTAGTTATAAAAGTACTTTAAATTTGCACAGAGTACAAGTCATATCAGCAGGTACAATTTATACGAATGAAAATGGGAAGATGCTGAATATTTGTTTTACAATTCTACTGTTTCCAGACAAGGCACATCAATTGGGACACAAGCTTTCATATTGAGAGTCTGATGAGAATTTTACTTTGGCTCTTTTTTAAATCTCCATTTGTGTTTGATGTGGCTTTTGAAAGATTGTTTCTCTTTTTGTAGCTAGGAGACATATTCTTCCACTTGCTGCTGAGAAAACTGATCTCTGCTTTTCAATTTATTTTGTTTTAATTAACAAGTTGGAAAAACAGTCCATGGACCAGCTTCCAGATGTTGCTGAAAGCAACTCTCATCAGCCATCCTAGCCAGGGCTTTTGAGAAAAAGAACTAGACAACATTTGGAAGAACCCATGTTGCCAATTTGAAATAAG